ATAAAAAATTGATTGCTTTGAAAGAGAATTTTTTTTAAAGATTAGTCATTGTACTCTTTTATGATTAAATATTTAAAAAATATAAAATTAACTTTAGTTTAATTATTGATACGAAATGTAAAATTATATTAGTACTCTTGATAAGATGGATGTCAATTTTTGACACTTATTCAACTAGTATTATATATATATATATATATATAAGATTATTAAAAAAATGTAGCCCGAAACCATGGAGATTGGACTAAAAAAAGGGAAATGTATTTTATTTGAGAAAAAGAAAAAGTAAAGATTTTGATTGAACATCGAAGTGGAAAGAGCAAAAACCAACATTTTTGCCTCTTATCTTATAAAATTAGTAGGTTTTAGTCCTTCAATTTATAACATAATCTTTTTAGCTTTTTACCTTACAAAGTTGATAGGTTTTAACCCTCATCTTATAAAGTTGGTTAGTTTTAACCTTTCACCTTACATTATGACATTTTTAGTTTCTCACCTATACGAATTGAAGAAAATAACTCTCACATAATATCAGGTTATAATGTTATATTAATTCTGTTAATTGACTGTTAACATCCATTAGCATTCCATTATAAAAACATAAAATTTAAATTCAATTTTATTTGTTAGTTTCATTAACGGAATACTAACGAATGTTAATAGTTAGTTAACAGAACAACAGTTAGTTAATATAACTAATAGTCTGTTGATAGAATCAACATTTAGTTAGCATAATTTACAATCAACTAATAAAACTAATAGAACATTATAACATTATGTTAAGTGAGGGTTATTTTCTTCAATTCATACAAATAATAGACTAAAAGTATCATAGTATAAGGTAAAGAGTTAAAACTTACCAACTTTATAAGATAAAGAATTAAAACTTATCAATTTTGTACGGTAAAAAATTAAAAATATTATATTATAAGATTAAAAGTTAAAACATATCAATTTTGTAAGATTTGGAACTAAAAGTTGGTTTTAGCATGCGAAAAGCGGAGCAATGTTAAGCAAATAAAGCGCGTGAGGAGTACTCCCAGCCGCGACGGGGGCAAATAGGTTTTGGTGGTGTCAGGAGGGAACCAATAGCTGGGAGAAAGAGATACCAAGATACCCTTTTTCGGTTCTTTCAACCGGAAATTTTTTTTTCCACGTTCTGTTTTTTTTTTT